TTCTTTGACCTTCAATCTTTCCCAGCATCAGGGTCTTCTCCAGTGAGTGCTCCCTTCTCATTGGGTGGCCAAAGTACTTGAGCTTCAACTTCATTATCTGGCCTTCCAGGGAACAGTCAGGGTGGATTTCTTTTAGGATAGGATTGACTGATTTGATCTCCTTGCAGTCCAAGGGACTTTCAACAGTCTTCTCCAGGACCATAGTTCAAAAGAATCTATTCTTTGGCGCTCGGCCTTCCTTATAGTCCAACTCTCGCAGCCATACATGATTGTACATATAGCGTGTACATAAAGCCTGCATATATTTTATACATACAAATAAATATAGCTCTATATAGTCTAGTCTAAGGATGCTGTTTTCCAATGTCTTACAAGTCAAACCTTATGACATGAGAACTTATCGAGTCTAAAGTCTAAAGAGTGACACTTTCCATTACACGCTGTCCATACAGTAGGTCTATAATACCTTTTGAGATTGCTAAATGAGGCAAAGAGTAGTTATTACATCAGGTATTGTTCTTTTAGTGGTTAGATGTGTGAATATGGGAGACCATAAACTTGTAATATCATCATGTTCACCTTTAGAGTTGTTTCGTTTCAGAATGTCTGAGGTTTTTTCCCTTATGTATATGTTCCAAAGTTTTTTTATACCAGAGGATGATGTTTAGCTTGTTTGTGGATTTCCATGTAGATGCTATTGTATGCTCTTCTTCCCTTTCCTAATCATCCTCAACATGGAGTGTGCCTTTCTCACCACCACCGTGTACTCTGAGCCGACATTTTCATGGAGCCGTCCACTGTAACCCCGAGGTCTCTTTCAGTCTTCGTCTCAGCCAGTTCAAACCCTGTCAGCGCGTAGCTAAAGCCGGGATTGTTTGAGTGTGCATCACCAAGGATGAGGCCTAGAAACAGCCTCACACAAGCCAGGCCCAAGCGACCAGACTCCAGCCAAGGGTCACTTACATTTCCTACGTTACAGCCAGCAGTGCACACCCTGGGTGAGAGGGGTCTCTTGAGGGTGGGCGTTCCTTGCTTGCTTCCAGACAGCTGTTTCCCACCCCCTTAAAAACAATAACAGGAGACACAAGTCGAGAGACTAGGTGCCAAATCTGTTCCCGTCTACATCTGGGCGATATTACCACAGAACCCAATCCACCTCAGCCAAACCATCTTGGACTCCTCTGCGGGTGCATTCTCCGCATTCCAACTTGGGGGTGGGGGGGATGTTGGAAGGAAGGCAAGCTCAAACACTTTAAATAATCGTATTGTATTTCGCTCTGTTGCCAACCTAAAGGTCACCCTCATCCAGCAGAGGAGCTTTACAGCAGGGGACTCCAGTCTGAAACCAGTGAATTCAGGGAGATGGTTGACTTCACGAGGCTCTGGAGAACATCAGAGCAACCCTGCAGGATCAGACCAGGGAGGGTCAAGCCCTTGCTAAATCTGACCGATGAGAGTGCAGCATCCAGTTTCGCACAGCAGCCAGACGGTTGTCCTTGAGGACCAGCCAACCAGGCAGAGGCTCCAGTCTGAAACCAGTGAATTCAGGGAGATGGTTGACTTCACGAGGCTCTGGAGACGCTCATCCTTTAAGAACATCGGAGCAGCCCTGCAGGATCAGACCAGGGAGGGTCCACCAGGTCCAGCATCCTGTCTCCCACATAAGAACACAAGAGAAGCCCATGTTGGATCAGGCCAGTGGCCCGTCCAGTCCAGCACTGTGTCACGCAGCGGCCAAGAATACCAGGTGCCATCAGGAGGTCCAGCAGTGGGGCCGGGACACCAGAAGCCCTCCCACTGTTGCCCCCCCCCCCAACCACCAAGAATACAGAGCATCACTTGCCCCCAACTGGGAGTTCCTACCTATACCTTGTGGGTAATTGCCACTGATGGACCTCTGCTCCATATGTTCATCCAATTCCCTCTTGAAGCTGTACATGCTTGTAGCCGCCACCACCTTCCTGTGGCAGTTAATTCCATGTGTTAATCACTCTTTGGGTGAAAAAGTACTTCCTTTTATCCGTTCTAACCCGACTGCTCAGCAATTTCATTGAGTGCCCACGAGTTCTTATATTGTGAGAAAGGGAGAAAAGTATTTCTTTCTCTACCTGTTCTATCC